TCTCATTGTCCCTGTCATCCCAGCCTGGGACTCACCTCCACCAAAGTTCTTCTATCATGTCCTTTCATGCCACCTGTCTATTAGAGGCCCCAGTAGCTTAGTAGGCATTAGGCATGAGTGTCCCTGGTTGTAGAATTAGCATTCAGGCACTTTGGGGTTTGGAGGATGATTCCAAAAGACAGGCAGACACACGGAACCCCAGGTTAAATGTGGACTCCCATGTCATTGCCACCGGTCTTTCCCCGCCACAGCCTTTGCATCCCATGAGGTCTGTGTCTTGGTGGTGTGGCCTGTCTCTGTCTGTGTGTCTGTCTCTCACTCTGACTCATAGCGAGACTCCTTTCCCCCCAGGAGCGTTTTCCCAGCCTCAGAGAGCAGCCCTTCTCCCCCACCCCCACCACCCCACCTCTTGCCAGTTTTGGCAATCCTTGCCATGGTCCCCTGTAGCTAAGTGTGAGTATCCAGGGAAAGGCGAGAGGCTGTTTTCACAGGTTCTTCTACCCTGGGAGGTAGAAAACTTGGGTCAAGGCCCAGCTGCCACACAAACTTGCTGGAAACATCGGTTGACCTCTCTGAGCCCTCACTTCCCATCTGAAATGTGCCCTTTGCTGCTCTGTCCCTGGGGGAGGGTGAGAGAAACTGAGGCTTCCCATGGGAATATCCAAGTGAATAAATGATTTCATCTTCATTGGCACAAAAATGAGTAGAACAAGGAAGGGCTGAGCTGGGGAGGAAGGGGAAGGACATGGTATTTCCCATGACCTAGCTTTTACCATCATGAATAACATTGAGCACCACCATGTTCTAGGCCCTGATAACATGGATAGATATGGCAATTGACCTAGGGGACTCGCTTTGTAGCAGGGCAGAGGGACAGGCCCATGCACCAGCAGTGGCCTCAGAACATGGTAAACAGTGCACACTGCAGGAGGGACGTTGACTCAGGACAGTTTGGAGGAGGATATATTCTGTAGGGCCTCCCTCTGCAAAGCCAATAAATCCAGAATAAAACATACTTTCTAATATATCACTGATCTCACAAAAAAGTAAGGGAAATCCCCAGGATTTCTACAGACAAAATCAAAAGGCTGTGAGCCAATGCTAGAACAGGAGCAGTAGGTGGTCACCAAATACAAGGTTGTCCCAGGACAGATGCTGATGTCAGGACTGTTAACAAGTCTTGGGATGTGGCAGAGGAGGACAGAGCCTGAGACTCTCATTCAACCAGCATCTCTCAAAGGAGAATGGAGTGGCCCCTGGTCCTGGGTCTCCTCCCTGCTCCCTGTCTGCTCCTTTCCCCAGTGGAAGTAAATGTCAGTCCTTTCTGGAGAAAAACATCTACTATTTAGACTCTAAAGATACCCATCAATTAAGATCAAATAAATATAAATTCAGCATGAGTGAGCGTCAACAGCAAAAAACAGCAAATATAGACACTCTAAGGTCTTTTCAGATATAGTAATTATCAATTCCAAATAAAGACAACATGTACAACTGCTTAAAGAAATTTAAGATAAAATTATAGACATGAGCCAACAACAGGAAACTGTCTGAAAAGACCAGAAAAACTTGGAAGGGACAAACAAATGGAAACTCTTAGAAATAAAAAATATAGTTGATGATATGAAAAATAAATATATAAAAGAATGAGGTAAACAGCAGACTAAATAGCTGAAGAGAGAATTTTTTAAGTGGAAAATAGATCTATGGAAATTACCAAGAATGCAATATTGAGAGATAAGGAGATGAAAACTAGGGAGGAGAAATTAGAGCTGTCTGGTCTAATACAATACCAATTAGCCAAATGTTGCAATATAGATTTATATCTGAATTAATTAAAATTACAGAAGATTAAAATTCTGTTCTTCAGTTGTACTAGCCTCATTTTAAATGCTCATAGTTACTTGTGGCTAACAGCTATCATATTGGACGATGAAGATTACAACACACTTTTTTTTTTTGAGTTGGAGTCTCACTCTTGCCCAGACTAGAGTGCAGTGGCACTTGCCCTGCTGGGCTCTGGCAATCCTTCCACCTCAGCCTTCCAAGTAGCTGAAATTATAGGCACACACTACCACACCCAACCAATTTTTGATTTATTGCAGAGATGAGGTCTTGCCAAATTGCCCAGGCAGGTCTCAAACCCATGGGCACAGGCAATCCACTCGCCTCGGCCTCCCAAAGTGCTGGGATTACAGGCTGAGCCACCAAGCCCGGCCACAACACATTTTTATCACCACAGAAAGTTCTGTTGAATAGCACTGGGTGATAAGATCAGAAAAACAGAATGAGAAAGTTCAACTTATGTCTAATTGTAATCCCAGAAGAAGAAAACAGAAGAACGGAGAAGAGGTAATATTTTAAGAGATAGTGATTGAGAATATCACAAAAACAAACCCACAGATACAGGAAGCACATTTTATATCACTCAGAATAAATAAAAAGAATAGTACATCTAGCCACACAAATGAAACTGCAGGAAACCAAAGACAGAGGGAAAATCTTAAAAGTGGCTGACAAAGGAACAACAATTAGACTTGCAGCTGACTTCTCTCTAGCAAAAATATAGACCTACAATAAGGAGCAATGTCTTCAAAGTGCTAAAAAGAAAACAGTGTCGACCTAAAACTGTGAACCCAGCAAAACTCTATTTTACAAGGGTAAAATAGACTTTTTTCAAATAATTAAAATACTGGACATGGTAGCATGTAAGTCAAGTGGTGTGACCAGAATTAATATGTTTTAAATAGTCCTTACTATTTAGAGCAGGGCATGAAGATATTGATCAACCTCAGGTTTTGTTTAGCAAAATGCAAGAGAGGGACCCCCCAAAAACCCAGAATTTATCTATAAAAAATTGTGTATTTATTCTTGCATGTTTAAACTTCAGTCTTTCCATGTGACGCCTATCGGGATGCTTTTCCCACTGCTCAAAACAGTTTTTGAACCTGTCAAAAATTTGATACCTTTTGGTGCTTTTGCCATTTTTGTTTCACCTCTTCCGCCTCAGCAAAATGTTTCTTTTTGAGGACTTCTTTCATCCGGGGGAACAAAAAAAAGTCACTGGGGAGAGATCAGGTGAATAGGGAAGGTAGGGCACAGGGGTGATGCCGTTTTGGGGTCAAAAACTGCTGAATACTCAGTGTGGTATGGGCAGGTGCACTTGAAATCACCCATCATGAAATGGGCAAACACACTGAAAGAATCTCCAAAACAAACTCAGTGGAGCCGAACACAGCCTCTCCCAACAATGCTAGCTAGTACACGGATGCCGATGGGTTCCTAGGACACTCACCTAGCTGGGGAAGCCTGTACTACAAGGGGACCACCCTCCAAAAATAATTCCGGGTTTTTCTGGATCCCCCTCTGTATGTATAGCAAGTGTTCAAGGCCGACCATGAAGGCAGTGGTTCTAGGACTCAGCATGCATCAGCGTCACCTGGAAGTCTTGTTACAACACCTATTGCTTCTGCCCCAAGAGATCTAGACTCTTCATTTCTCACAAGTTCCCAGGTATTGCTGTTGCTACCAGTACAGGGAGCACACTGGGAGAACGACTACACTCACAACAGAGAAGTAGAGGGCTGAACTCTCCCATACCAACAGAAGCATGGGGGAATGGAATGAGAAAATGAATCAAAAAAGAAACTTCCATGCAGACCAGTTCTGTCCAACAGAAATATAATGCAATCCATATGTGTCATGTTAGATCTTCTATTAAAAGTAAAAAGAAACAGGTGACATGAATTCTAATGATCTATTTTATTTAAACCAGTATACCCCAAATATTATCATTTCCATATGTGATCGGTATAAACGTGATTACTGGGATAGTTAACATTCCTTTTTGCGTGTGCTAAGTTTTCAAAACCCAGTATGTATTTTATACTTAAGCAGGCTGGCCACGTGACCAGCACTCACTGGGCACACAGGGCTTGTAGCCACCACATGGCCAAAACAGGTCTACACACCGCAGGTGATGTGAACCCATGGATACTCCACTCTATGCCAGACCCTGGACTGAACACTTTGCACACCTCATCTCATTTAGGCCTTCCATTATCCTGTAAGAGTAGATGTTATTATTATGCCCATTTTACAGATGGGGAAACTGAGGTCGAGGAAATGCAAAACACTCCCCCAAGATCCTCTGGCAGGTAGGCAGCAGTGCTAGGATTCAAACCTGGGCCTCTCATACTCCAGTGCCAGTCTCTGAACTTCTAGGCCAGGGGCTTCCCTAAGGGGTGTGTGTGTGTGTGTGTGTGTGTGTGTGTGTGTGTGTGTGATGGGCCGGATAGGAATTATTTTAGGCTTTGTGGACCAGGCAACCTCTGCTATAGCTACTCAGCCCTGCTGTTGTAGCATGGAGGCTGCCTTAGACAACACAAAAGTAGACGGTGTGACTGGGAGCCTATAAAAATTGTATTTGGAAAATGGGTGGCCGGACTTGGCCCCGGGGGCCGCAGTTTGCTAACCCCTGAGCCAGGCCAGCACGACTGCCTTTGGGGGCCCCATGCTGGGGAGCCCTCCGTGGTCACATTCGATATTCCTAATACTCCATGGTGTGTGTGTGTGGTGGGGTAGACAGAAGGATACGGAACCACTTATTCCGAAGCCCCATGTTCCCTCCCCCTGCCGCCCCCAGGTTTCAGAAGGATCCAGAGTGGCTGCCCCTTCGTGGCACTTTCTCAGCTTCCACGGGGGCTCAGCCAGCCCCTTCACCTCGGTTACTGCCCCCCCGCCCACCGCCAAGCAACCTGACCATGGAAATGAGTTATTCCTGCTCTCAGAACCAAGGAGGAGGGGACTAGAAGCCAGGACTGACAGGATCCTGGGCACAGTATCCGGCCCCAGCCTGCACTTTAGAAACTGCCTTTAATGGATGGTCTCTGACCCTGAGACCCTCTCCCTGGCCCTTTCACAGTCACCTCCTTGGAGCTCAGACCCCGGGGTGGGGTGGAAAGAGGCGGGTGGGCGGGTGAATACCTGTCTTTTTGCAGAAGCCAAGCTGTGTGGGGTGCACGTGTGGACCCCACTTGGCCTCTGGCGTTCTCAGAGCCTGGACTCCATGGATAACCTGAGTTGTGAAGCCAGCCCCCCGCAGTGTAACCCGCGCACACTTGCAAAAATGAGTGCGCACGCGTGCACACACTAGAGGCTTGCTTTTCCCCTCTGTCGACTCACGCGTCATCCTTCCCCGGTCCCTCTGACCCCTCTCTTTTTCCCCTCCTTCTAGCTGACCTGCTTGTCTGCCGTTTCTGGGACACCCTTTCTCTCCCCACAGTTTGCTCCTGGAATCTACCCCCCATCCTCCAGCGCTGCCCTGACGTCTCCCTTCTCCACCTTCCCTGCCCCTTTAGCTCCCTGACTTGGGGTGATGTCACCAAGCACTGTAGACACCCCCACCTGTCCACCTGGACGCAGAGTGGACAGGGCACCCCTCGCCCCCCCGACCTCCCCACCCCTCCCACCTGGACCAGGCGGGGTCCGGCAGCGACAGGGGCTCGACAACCAGGAGGACAGACTGGTGACCTCCCCAGGTGCGTGAGCTGTAGGCAGGATGCAATCTGCCCCAGGAATTCAAGGCACAGAGGCTGCAGTGGACTTCTAGGTGTGGCCGGACAGTGCCCCGAAGACCAATAACAGCCACCCTTGACTCAGCGCCTACTGGCAGCCTAAAAACAGGCATCAGAGAAAAATATCTCCTAATATAATGATTTTATTTGGGAGTGAGCAAAAGGGTTAGACTCTGGCGGCGTCACCATGGCAAGCTGTGGTGCGTCTGACGAGGGCAGGGCAGACAGAGGCTTTTATTGGCAAAAATAAATTGACATCAGTGCTTGGAAACAGAGTCCATTGGTCCTGAGGCTCAAAGCCAGAGCTGGTGCCTGCTGATTGGTGTTGTTCCCAGGCTGTGTTTTTTTCGAGAGCTCCTTATCTGAACTGCAGCAGCCCTGAAGAAGGAATTTCTTGGGGGGTTATTTTTGAAAGCCCTTGAGACGGTCCTTATCTCAGGCAAGCGTGAGCCTCCTTCTCACTTCCCTGGCGCTAATCCATTTGGGTGTGGCAAAAGTGATTTCTCCTGGAGACTGTCATGCTGCCATGGCTTCATGTTCAGAGTTTATAACAGTCATATCAACCTAGGAGGTAGATACTGTTATTACACCCATTTTACGGATGGAGAAACTGAGGCTTTAAGGAATTTGCTCGAAGTCAAGGTCTGTTCAGCTCCAAAGCCTGGTCCGCCTGGATGGCGTGGGTCACATTTTGGAATTTGGGATAGCCAGATTCGGCCACATGTCGCCTCTTGTCGTCCCAGAAGCATGTGACAGAGGTAAGATTCAGCTGCAGGAACAAGAGGGCCTCTCAGCTCTCTCAACCCAGGGGGTGTCCTGTTCCGGTGCCTGTGGCTGATCTCAGTGGGACTTGGAGTCCTGGGCCTGATCGAAAAGACTTCCCTGCAAGCCAAGCATCCCTCGGGACCCTGCACCAGTGCTGGGCTTAGGCCTGTGCCCCCTGGCCGGGTGGCCTTCTCACTAAGTGGAGACCCGGGACCCCGGTGGGGCTGCAGACTCAGCTGCTGCTGTGTCCAGATCTCCGGGTGCCATGGCAACACAGATGCTCAGACTGGTGACCTGCTCTGAGCTCTCTGCTCCTCTGCCATTTCCCCGGGGGGAGAAGAAGCCGTGGACCTGCTGAGAAAGGAAATATAATATTGGCAGTGACCTCTCAACTCTGCCTGTCCCAGCACACACAGCCTCGTCACATTCACTGCCAGAGTCATCATGGCAGCCCAGAGAGGAGCAGGCAGCACAATGCCAGCTTGACAGAGGGAGAAACTGAGTCACAAGGCATTAGTGAGAAACGTCCCAGTAGAGATGTGGATGATGGATGAGTATGTGGATACCAAGTCCCAAAGGAGTTTAAAACAGAAAGAAGTTGGGGGAAGCAGATTTGTAACTAGAGAAAATGAGATTTCTAAGCTGTATTGCTTCTCAATTTTTTTTTTTTTTTTTGTGAGTCAGAGTCTCACTCTGTTGCCCAGGCTGGAGTGCAGTGGCATGCTCACGGCCACCGCAGCCTCGACCTGCTGGGCTCCAGCAATCCTTCTGCCTCAGCCTTCCAAGTAGCTGGAACTACAGGCATGCGCTACCATGCCCGGCTAATTTTTGATTTATTGTAGAGATGAGGTCTCGCCAAGTTGCCCAGGTGGGTCTCGAATGTTTCTCAATTTCAAACAATAAAGTCAATGCAGTAAACTTGGGAAACAAAGTATTTACACACTCACAAATACTCTTGCACACTCATACATGCACATTCACACACACACACACACACACACACACACACACACACACACACACACACACTTGCCCCTCACCCCTTTCCAGAGATAGACTTTAAACCTTTGCTCACCTAGTATTTTACATATATACGAACGTATACATGTATATATAAGTATGCTTCTACGTAGCATATACTATATATAACTTTTGTTTTTGTTTTTGTTTTGTGTCAGGGTCTCACTCTGTCGCCCTGGGTGGAGTGCAGTGGCCCAATCCCAGCTCAGTGCAGCCTCGACCTGCTGGGCTGGGCTCAGGCAGTCCTTCTGCCTCAACCTCCTGAGTAGCTAAGACTTCAGGCGTGTACCACTATGTCCAAATTATTTTTCAATTTTTTCTGTAGAGATGGGATCTTGCTATGTTGCATAGGCTGGTCCTGAACTCCTGAGTTCAAGCAGTCCTCCTGTCCCGGCCTCCCAAAGTGCTGGGATCACAGTGTTGCACCACCACACTCAGCCTGTTATATATATAAGTTTTAAACTCCAGTCGGGATGACATTGCATCTGCTGTTTTTTCCTTTTTCACTTGGCAATAGATTGTGGATGTTTTCTCATGTCAAAATTATCCTCCCGTGACAGATTTTCTAATTGATTGCCTGTACTCCAACATATGATTGGAGCATCATTCATTCAAGTAATCTCCCATCAATAACCATTTGCGTTTACATTGCCTCTTTGCTTTTAATTTCCCCTGTTTTGTCATTATAAAGTTGCATATGCTTATTACGGAGCTTTGAGGACATGCAGAGGCACACTGATGACACAGACAGCAAGAAGAAAATAACCTTGTTCTTCCCAGGCCACAAACTCCATGGCGGTGAACTTCTGTGTGCACTACCTGTTGTTTGTCCTGGTTGTATTGAGGGAGAAGCATTTGTTACATCGTTGCCATGATGTGGAATATACAGTTTCAGCAGGGGTCATTTCTAATCAGACTGATGTTTGATCCTTGTCATTTCTCCTGGTGTTGAGTTTGTTTGGGTTTTTATATAACCCCGTTTTAGAGAGATCCTTTCCCCTTCTCTTGGGTCTTTGTAACCCAATCTTTGCTCATTGACCAGATGTTGATGCAGCTGATTATAGATGAAAGAACGGAGTTGGAAAGTGTTGGTAGATAAATGTTTGTGGTTTTGTTGTTGTTGTTGGCATGTGAGGGACATTCCAGAAACAGGCTTCAGTGTGCTAAGGAACAGAGCTGGGATTCCATTTATCCTAAGAAAATAAATCACTCAGTTGCCCAAAGATGATGGCCACGGTGTTGTTTACAATAGTGAAAAATAGTGAAACAACCCCTGTACCCATCAGTGTTCACTGAGACGCAAAGATGGCCTCTACCACGGAGGTGAAAAGGCGTGCTGGGAACGAATGCCTGGGTGAGAGTGTGTGTGTGTGTGTGTGTGTGTGTGTGTGTGTGTGTGTGTGTGCGCGCGCGCGCGTGCACACACAAGCGTGGGCGTTTGTGTATCCCAAGGAATCTTTAGTTAAATAACACCAGCTGCTGTCTCTGGGCGGCATCGGGGCGATTTTCATTTTCTGTTGTGTTTTTCTTTTCTTCTGCAATACATGTTTAATTCTCTTTTCTTTTGAGGGGACATAGGTGACTTCTGTCATGGGGCGGGGGTGGAAAGACACACAAAAATCATTTTGGCCTTGAAGAGAAGAAATGAGATGGGGCGAGACATCCCGCCCCCCTCATCCGCCTGGGGGTGCAGCCCGGTCCCCCAGCGTGGCCACTTGCGCTTGTGTGTTGCAGACTCGGACAGCCAGAGCAGCCCGACGCGGCAGAGCCTCAGCCTGTCTGAGGGCGAGGAGCAGATGGACCGGCTGCAGCAGGTGGAGCTGGTCAGGACCACGCCCATGTCCCACTGGAAGGCGGGGGCCGTGCAGGCCTGGCTGGAGGTGGTCATGGCCATGCCCATGTACGTCAAGGCCTGCGCGGAGAACGTCAAGAGTGGGAAGGTAGGCCGCTCCGGGCCCCCGGGGGATGCCTCCCCCCCGCCCAACTCCCACCCCTGGGGTCAGGAGGAGGGACAGTCTAGAAGCTCGGCCAACCTGGGTTCAGGCTCTGGGGTCTCCGCCCAGTCATTGTGTCTTGGAAGGCACTTAGCGCTTGTGGACCTCAGCTGTGCCATCTTTTGTTTTGTTTTGTTTTGTTTTTGAGTTCGAGTCTCACTCTGTCGCCCAGGCTAGAGTGCAGTGGGACACTCACAGCCACCCCAGCATCGACCTGCTGGGCTCCAGCGATCCTTCCGCCTCGGCCTTCCAAGCAGCCGGAACTACAGGCGCGCGCTACCACTCCCAGCTAATTTTTGATTTATTGTAGAGACGAGGTTGCCCGGGCGGGTCTCGAACCCGCGAGCTCGGGCAATCCACGCGCCTCGGCCCCCAAAGCGCTGAGATTACAGGCTGAGCCACCGAGCCCGGCCGTGCCATCTTTAAAAGCGGGTAAACCGGCAGGGCGGAGCCCCAGGTGCCCTGACTGTGGAAAGGGTGGTTGCCCCACGCCCTCAGACCCCTTTGGGGCGGGCCCCGGCCGGCGGCAGTTGCCCCGGGAGCTGCGGGTGCAAGACTGACCTCCCCTACCCCGGAGCAGGTGCTGCTGAGCTTGAGTGACGAGGACCTGCAGCTGGGCCTGGGCGTGTGCAGCTCCCTGCACCGGCGCAAGCTGCGCCTGGCCATCGAGGATTACCGCGACGCCGAGGCAGGCAGGAGGTGAGTGGCCTCACCTGCCCGCCGGGCCCCCGGGGGAGGGAGGACGGCACCCGAGGGCCCCGGCTGCGGAGGGTGGCGGAGCGCCGTGGATGGGGCACCGTGCATGGGCCAGCGCCAAGTGTGCGGACGCCAGGGGGGACTAAGGTGGGCCCGGGAGGCCAGGCACACCCAGCTCCCGCCCCGGCCCAGCCCTCCCCGTAGAGAGAGGGACCCACGGGAAAGACGTGAGGCCCTAAATGCCCTGGGACCCCCCCCAGCCGCGGAGCAGGAGCCTCTCGCGCCCCCCACGGACTTCTCCGCTTCCGAGGTCTCAGCACGTCTGCAAACTGGCCCGCGACGTCTGCCCCGCCTGCTTCCGCTTTTACCATTCCAGAGTGAGGAACGAGGGAACAGGACAGACAGAAAAGCAGGAGCGGGCAGAGGAGGTGCCCCAGTCATGAGCGGGCTGAGTGAGATTACAGAGGAACAGGCGGGCAGGAGGGGGCCTCCCGGCACACTAGAGTTCCACCCTGCGGGTGTCTCCCCCACCCCAGGCCGCCTGGCCCCAGCTCTCACACCACCCTCCCCCAGCCCCGCCTGCTGCCTGCCTGCCTCCTGACCGGCTGTGAGCAGGATTTGTGAAGGGGGCTTCTCCTTCAGAGGCCACTCCAGGGAAAAGGGAGGGAGCCCCCCCCCAGTCCTGAGGGTATGGAGCGGGGAGGGACTCGCTTTGTAAATCTGACACTTTCTGTTTTGCATAATTACGTCCTTCACTGGTTTCCCCATCATTTTTGTGCAGTTAATTAATCAAACCTGGTGGTGTGTGCTGTAATTTGCAGAAGCAGCTTTGCGGATTAAAAAAAAGAGGGGGCTGGTGTGGAGAATCGGGCTGGTTTGGAAGCAGGGAAACCAAAGCGGTGTGTGTCCGGGAGAGGGGCCCTTGGCGTGATGCCAAGGTGGCAGGTACTGCTGAGGCCAGACTGCATCAGAAACTCAGAGGGCTGCTCAGCAAGAAGAGGCCTCACTTCATCCATCCCTCCGGACCCTGGCCCATCCTAGACGGGGCTGGGGGGGCAATGGGGCACCCCCTGCTGGGCTCCCCCTGAGCAACCCACAAGCACCTTAAACTCACCACCTGCCTCCCAACCAGTCCCATCCCCGAGTCCCCAAAAGCCCTCCCCTCCCTTGCTTCCCCAGGCAGGCCCTCTTGATGACGGGGTCCCTAAACGCTGCCTGTGTTCACTGAGCAGGGTGGGCTGAGCCCAGGCCACTGCCTATGACCCTCCAGGTGTGGCTGTCTGAGTCTGCTGGGGCTGCTACCACGATACCACCGCCTGGGTGATTAGACAGCAGAAACTTAGTTCTGGCCATTCTGGAGGCTGGAAGCCAGAGCAGGGAATGTTGGGGTAGTCGGGTTCTGGTGGGGGCCTCTTCCTGGCTTGCCGACGGCCACCTGCTTGCTGTGTCCTCTCATGTCAGAGAGAACATGCTGGTGTCTGCTCTTACAAGGGCACGGACCCCATCACGGGGCCCCATGTCCTCATCCAACCCTAATCATCTCCCATAGGCCCATCTTCCAACACCATCGCATTGGGGGCTAGGATTTCAGCACATAACTCGGGAGAGGGCACACACTTAGTCCATGGCAGTGGCTGACCCCAACCATCTCCAGGAATTGGGTGTCTATGGCACCCGCAAGGGCCTGGATTCACATGTGCAGCCAGAGGTGAGCAGGTTCTGGAAACTTCTCTAAGACAGCTATAAGCAGGAGGACTCAGGGTCTGGGTCTTCCTGGAGAAGGCAGAGGTCTCGTTTTTGAGCTTTCTGTTTCCGGTGGAAATCTGGCCTGTCTCCAACTTGCCACGTGAACTTGACCCTTTGTCCACTTGTGCAGTGAAGGGAGTTTAATTAGGACAGTGGTTTTTCTTTTCTTTTTTCTTTTTTTGTGTCGGTATCTCACTCTGTCACCTAGGCTGGAGTGCAGTGGCCCGCTCATGGCCACCATAGCCTCGATCTGCTGGGCTCCAGCCATCCTTCCCCCTCAGTTTTCCAAGTAGCTGGAGCTACAGGTGCATGCCATCATGCCCGGCTAATTTTCTCGATTTATTGCAGAGATGAGGTCTGGCCATGTTGCCCGGGCTGGTCTCGAACCCCTGGCTGGGTCAGCCATCTTGCCTCCATCCCCCAAAGTGCTGGGCTTACAGGCGTGAGCACTGCGCCCGGCCAGCCGTGCGGTTTCCTTCAACTTGGGGCTCTTGCGATAAATAGCGCACACCGATAGCTGGCCCCCAGGACAGCTTTAGTGACAGGGAACCTCAGGGCAGGAGCACATTGGTTGTGACAGACGGGTATGGCTGTTGGGCAAAGGCCTCTCTTGAGCAGGTTAAGTGAGGTGCCCCTCCCAGCCTCCCCAGGTTGCTTGTACCGCTGATGTGCTGAGATGGGTGTCACCCCGAGATGGGCTGAAGAAAGAGGGCACGGGGCTAGGAGGGAGATGAGCGTGTTGCCTAGCGGGCTCTCCCTCCATCCTGGCACTCGGGGATGCTCAGTGTCTCCCAGGCAGGAAGGCAGGCCAGTGAGGAGCCACCCAGGACGCTCAGCAGGAGGGCGGCACCATCAGCCACCTCTCGCTGCCCCGGGAAGAGGGCCGCGTCACTTGTAAGCCCACCGCTTTCCCTTCCACTTATCCCTACCTGATCCTCTGGCTCCCACTCAGGCCTTGGACCCCGGCTAAGTCCCTGGCAGGTGGTGAGTGACAGTCCTCATTCCTTCTGCGAGGCTGCCACTGTGTGGTGAGCAGAGAAATGACAGCCAGGGGCGGGCTCACCCCTGGCAGGCGCGTCCACTTTCACCCGTGCGAAAGGCATTCATTGTGCACCTGCCGTGTGCGTGGCACTAGGGTCGGTCCTGTGTGGGACACGAGGGCACCTGCAATATGGCAGTGCAGTGCTAAGAGAGACTTGGAATAGGCCAAACGTAGGTTTTAGTCCTGGCTCCAAGATGTCCCTCTGTGTGGCTCTGGGCCATCACGACACCACCTTCTGCGCATGATGAGGACGTACCTGGTCCAGCTGTGTGGACACTCGGTGATGGTGATCACTGTCACTCACAGCCTCCTCTAGGCAGGAGAACAAGCCAGGGAGTGTCAGGGCCGCATGGGGGTGGGGCGTGCCACTCGGGTGGGCCAGGCCCCCCTCCCCGTTCCGCAGATCTTGGATGTGGTGGGAGCCCCTGAGGAGGTGAGGGGGCTTAGACAGGTGCCCCACGCCCTATGTCACTGCCTCTTCCCCTCTGTGTTTGGGGTCTTCTCTTTTCCTGTTCCCTCTGCTTCTCTCTCCATTGGTCCCTCTGTTATTTGAGGCTTTGTCTTTCTTTGTCTCTGTCTCTCTTGTCTCTCTCTCTCACTCTCTCTCTGTCTTCATCTCTGTCTCTCTTCTCTGTCTCTCTCCTCTGTGTCTCTGTCTCCATCTCTGTCTTTCTTCTTCTCTTTCTCTGTCTCTGTCTCTCTCCATCTCTGTCTCTCTGTGTCTCTATCTCACTGTCTCTGTCTCCTCTGCCTCTGCCCCTCTCCTTCTCTCTGTCTGTCTCTGCCTCTCCATCTCTCTCTCTTGTCTCTGTCTCTCTCCTTCTCTGTCTCTCTTACTTCTCTGTCTCTCTCCTGTCTCTTTCTCCTCTGTCTCTCTCCTTCTCTGTCTTTCTGTGTCTCTTTCTCCGTCTCTGTCTCTCTCTGCTGTCTGTCTCTCTCCTTCTCTATCTTTCTCCTTCTCTGTCTCTCTGTCTCTCTGGCCTTGTCTCTGTCTCTCTCTTCTGTCTCTCTCTCCTTTTGTCTCTCTCTGTGTCTGTCTTGTTCCTCTGCCTCTGTCTCTCTCCCTCTCTGTCTCTCTCCTCTGTCTCTCTGTCTCTGTCTCTCTCCTCTGTCTCTCTGTGTCTCTTTCCATCTCTCCTCTGTCTCTGTCTGTGTCTCTCTCTCCCCGCTCCACCCCCGTCCCCCCATCCTCCCTCTTTCCATCCCTCGCTTCCTCTCTCTCCACCCTATCCCTGCCCTCCCCTGTCTCTTGGCTCTCTCTGTCCTCCCCCACCCCGTTGATTCCCTCTCTCCCACCTCTTCCCCCCTCGGCCCCTGCCCCTGCCTGTCCACCTGTGTCTGCCACCTCCCCTGCCCCATCCACTCTCTGGCCATCTCTCCTCACCAGCCTATCCAGAGCGGCTGACCTGGACCATCACTGGGTGGCCAAGGCCTGGCTGAACGACATCGGCCTGTCCCAGTACTCCCAGGCCTTCCAGAACCACCTGGTTGATGGGCGGATGCTGAACTCCCTGATGAAGCGGGACCTGGAGAAGCATCTGAACGTGTCCAAGAAGTTCCATCAGGTCAGCATCCTGCTGGGGATCGAGCTGCTGCACCAAGTGAACTTCAGCAGGGAGGTGAGGACCGGAGCGGGGCGGGGCCTTCCACAGCCCACCTGTCCCCTTGGAATCCACCGGTTGTCCATCGGCCTGCCCATCACCCCCCCACCCCCCCACCCACCCACCCATCCATCCACCTGACTGTCCATCCATCTGTCCGTCCATTTTCCACCCACCCATCTGTCTAACATCCATCCGTCTGTCCCTTCGTCATACATACGTACAAACATCTGCCTGTGCATCCATCTAGCTGTCATTCGTTCATTCATTCATTCGTCTGCCTATCATCCATCCATCCAGCCACCCATGTGTTGGTCCATTCTTCCATCGGTCCATTTCACCGTTTATCCACTCATGCACCTGCCCGTCCATCCGTCTGTCTGCCATCTACCCGTCCACCTGCCCACCCATCTGCTTGTCTATCATCCATCCGTCTGTCCATTCGTCTGCCTGTTATCCGTCCGCCATCCATCGGTTCATCAGTCCATCCGTCGATGTCTCATTCATCTAGCCATCCGCCCATCCATCTGCCCATTCGCCATCCATCCACTCACCTGTCTGCTCATCCGTCTATCATACATCCATGCACCCACCCATCCATCTGCCTGTCTACTATCCATCTGCTCCTTTCTCTCCCCTTCCCTCCTTCCCACAAGCACTTACTGGCCCCATGCTCAGTGCAGGGGACATGGGCGCCCTCGTCCCTTGAGAGCTCACTGCTTATCAGGGAGAACAGGGAAGAGGGAGGTGACAATACTGTGGGAAATTGTCACAGTGAGAGAGGCTCAGGGTTTTATGAAAATCCAGAGGAAAGGGCTCCAGGGCAGTCAAGGACAGCTCTCCAGAGATGGTGGCAGCAAATCTGAGACCTGAAGGAGGAATCCCAGGGATCCGTAGAAGATATGAGGGGAACAACAGCCCAGCAGGGGCAACAGCATGGGTAGAGGCCAAGAGGATGGATCTGTGGCAGCAGAGGACTGAGTCCTGTGGGGGTGGAGTGGGGAATGTGAGATGTGGGGGGGTGGAAGGGGTGCTAAGAAGGTGACCCAGGGGCTGCAGGTCGTGCTGAAGAGTTTGGGCTCTGTGTGCTTGATGCTGAGCTCTGCCAGGCCAGAGAGCACAGGGTACCTGTTTCAGCTTCCCCAGGACCCACCCAATGTGACCTGGGAGGGGCCCCAGGACCCACCCAATCCCCCCCTGGGAGGGGCCCTGGGTGCTGAACCCAGGTGGTCGACTTTTCTTGCAAGTGATGTCTGAGTAGAAGCAATTCGGGGTCAGGAGGAGAGGAACAGAGAGGAGACCTTCCAGCCCTTCCTCTCCCACCTCAAGCACTCACTGAAAGGCATCGTGGTGCTCTTGTTGTGTGCCTGTCCTGGGGTCAGTTCCATGTGGGCCTCAGGGAAGGCTGCGACATGGTGGTGAGAGAGGACTTGGAGTCAGACACACTGGGTGTTAATTATTCTGGCCCTGAGACGTGCTACTGTGTGGCTCTGGGCAAAGTCAGAGCTTCCCGTTTGTAGAGGGAGGACAACCCCGCCTTCCTCACGAGTGATAAGGACACAGGCCCTGGCCCTGGGAGCCCCAGCCTGACAGGGGAGGCAGACGTGGAAGACCATGACCATCACGAGTAAGGGAGGGTGTGGAGGGCCCTCACCCCACGTGTGGCCTCTGTGTCCCCTCGTCCCCCCGACTGACCTACTGTCCCCCCACAAGGCCCTCCAGGAGCGCCGGGCCCGCTGCGAGACACAGAACATTGACCCCGTGGTCTGGACCAACCAGCGGGTGCTCAAGTGGATACGAGACATCGACCTGAAGGTGAGGGTGATATGCAAATCTTATGCAAACGTGAATGCAAACCAGCATCCCTATTTGCATCCTCTGGGGCATCTTTGTTCAGGCCTAGCAAGAATGGCCTGCCTCCTGTCACTCAAGAGGAGGGAACTACTAACCCAGCCACCGGACCCCACTTCATGGTGCCTTTCTCATGAGAAATGGGGATCCTGAGCCAGCCGCACTCTCCTAAGAGGGGTCTAGATCCAGGGGCATCTTTTCATTCTACAGATACTTACTGCTGCCTTCGAGGGTCAGGGCTATCCCAGTGACAGAAGGCTCCACCCTCTTGGCACTGAGAGAGTAGGGGAGGGGCACCTCTTCACCATCACATTAGCTGGTCCCCAGGGGGTCAAGCCTTTGCTGTTGGGGACGTAGTCCCACTTGGCCCCACCAGGCCCCACTCAGGCCAGCCATGCAGCCACCCCAGGCTAACCAGCCTCCCGCCTTGGCCCACAGGAGTACGCCGACAACCTGACCAACAGTGGCGTCCACGGCGCTGTGCTGGTGCTGGAGCCCACGTTCAATGCTGAGGCCATGGCCACCGCCCTGGGCATCCCCAGTGGGAAGCATATACTCCGGAGACACCTGGCAGAAGAGATGAGTGTCATCTTCCACCCAGCCAAGTGAGTGGGGGCCATGGGTACAGCTCAGGGCTTGGAAGCGGAGGGTCCCGGTTTCCCACTCTGGCCCATCATTTACTATATCCCAGGAGGTCTCCTCTTACAGGTCAGGAAATGGAGGCTCAGAGAAGCAAAGTGCTTTAGCCTGAAGGCCATAGACTAGAAAGAGGCAGAGGAGCAGTCAGGCCTTGGATGACAAGTGTGTGAAAGCCAAAACCACTCGGGTATTTGAAGAAGGGAGAGCAAGCCATGCGTGTGTAAGGAAAGGCTATGTGAAGGTGGGTTGAGCTGGGAGGACTGACATTGGCCTATCAGGTTGGGATGGACAGTCCAGGCAACTGTGGAGACAAAGGCCTGGTGGCGGGAATGGGCATATTAATGGTATATGATCCAGGTGAGCAGATCATGTTAGTCTACCTGTCTTAGTAGTCTCATCTGAGTAATACTGACCAGACAGTGACCACCTGGACATAAACCAGGCTCCCTTCCAGTGGATTCTGTCCTTAAAATGGTGCTTAGGGTTAGATGACCATTAGTGAGCACTGGCCATATGCACTAACTAATATGCACTATCCTAACAATGCCGAGAGGTCAGTATTACTGTCCCTCCTTTATAGATAGAGAAACTTGTATATAAGACCCAAGCTGTGTGCCCAAGCTATACAGCTAGTAAGAGGCAGGGCCCAGATTTATCTTTAACTCTGTTAATACAGTGTGTTACACTGGTTATTTTCATATGTCAAGCCAACCTTGCATGCCTGGGATCGATCCCACTTGGTCACAGTGTATGATTCTTTTTATATGTTGCTGAGTTACTTTTTACAAGCATTTTGTTGGGCATTTTTGTATCTGTATGTATATGGGATGTTGGTCTGTTGTTTACTTTTTTGTGATTTTTTTTCTCATTTTCATCAGAGTAATACTGGCTTCATAGGATGAGTTGGGAAGTGTTCCCTCCTCTTCCTTTTTTTGAAAGAGCCTATGAAGGTTTGGTTTGAGTACTCTTTATTTTTAATTTAATTTAATTTTATTTTTGAGTTGGAGTCTCACTCTGTCGCCCAGACTGGAGTGCAGTGGCCGCTCCCGGCCACCACAGCCTCAACCTGCTGGGCTCCAGTGATCCTTCCACCTCAGCCTTCCAAGTAGCTGGAACTACAGGCGCGCACTACCGCGCCCGGTTAGTTTTTGATTTATTGTAGAGATGAGGTCTCACCAAGTTGCCCAGGCGGGTCTCGAACCTGCGGGCTCAGGCAATCCACTCACCTCAGCCTCCCAAAGGCGCGGGATTACAGGCTGAGCCACTGAGCCCGGCTTGATTACTCTTTAAACACTTGGTGGAATTCACCAGTAAAACCATCTGTTCCTAGACTTTTTTTTTTGGTGGAAAGTTTTTTTGGTTACTAATTCAGTTTCTTTACTTGTTAAAGTTCTCAGATGCTCTATTTCTTCTTGAGTCAGTCTCAGTAATTTATATCTTTCTAGGAATTTGTCCATTTCATCTAGATTAGCTAATTTGGGGGTGTGCAGTTGACCCTGTAATTATTCTGTTATTACCCCTCTCATCTCTATAAAGTTAGTAGTAATATCCCCTTCCTCATCCCTGGTTTTAGTAATCGGAGTTTGAGTTTTTGTGTTTTTTTTCCCCTAATCAGTCTACTTAAAAGATTTGTAGATTTTGTTGATAGAGCCCAGATCTACCCCTAGGGCTCTCTTGACTCAGCCTGAGTGCTAGACCCCTAAACCACGTGGGGCTTTGGGGAGCATCTGGGCCACTCCCCATGTTATGCAGGTGGAGAAACTGAGGTTTAGGAGAAAACCATGCATCTGTGACCAGGTCCAGGTATCTGGGACTGCTCATCCCCATTGGCAGGTTGATCCCTAATGGTTCTCAATGTGAGACCCACAGAACCCTGCAGCAGCCTTGGTGCTCTTGCAAAATGCAGCTTCCCCGGTCCCATCTCAGACCCACAGGACCAGTTTCTGCTGGCAGAGTCCAAGGGTCTACGTTTTTAGTATTTGGGGGTCGTTCTTACAGAAAGCAACATCTGATAAGAACTAAGAACCCTATTCTGGACTGGGCACAGGGCAACATCTGATAAGAACCCTATTCTAGATTACAATGGCTCATACCTGTAATCTCAGCACTTTAGGAGGCTGAGGTGGAAGAATCACTTGAGGCCAGGAGTTTAAGACCAGCCTGGGAAGCGTAGCATGAGACCCTGTCTCTACCAAAACATTTTTAAAACAGTTATCCAGGCATGGTGATGTATGCCTGTAGTCCCAGTTACTTAGGAGGCCAAGGTGAAGGATTGCTTGAGACCAGGAGTTCAAGATCAGCCTGAGCAACACAGCAAGACTCTGTCTCTACAAAGATTTTTTTTTTTTTTAATTAGCTGGGCATGGTGGTGCATGCCTATAATCCCAGCTACTTGGGAGTCTGAGGTGGGAGGATCACTTGAGCCCAAAAGTTTGGTCTGCAGTGAGCTATGATAGCACAACTGTACTCCAGCCTAAGTGACAGAGCAAGACCCTATCTCTTTAAAAAAAAAAAAAAAGAAAGAAGAAAGAAAAGAAAAATCTTATTCCATGAGCCCAGAATCAAAAGCCATAGGCAAAAGGCTTCTCTCCTCAGAATTGTGCACCTTCCCCGACCTCCCCCTAGAGCCATTGATTTGTCACAGACTCAGGGCATCCTGAGCCCTGAAGCTTGGCACTAGCAGGCACTGGTGAGTCTGATTAAACCCTTGATCACCCCCAGCTAACAAGTGTGTCAGGACTGCCTGGGACAAGTGGGGAAGCCCCAGGGAAGGTTCTGGTGGGGACAGATAGGTGGGTCCTTGGGTTTTGGTAGCCCGGGGATTTTGAGAATTAAATAAATGTGGAGGACCTCCTGCTGGTGGGATGGAGGAGGGGGAAGCGGGGAGCCCAAGCCTGGTGAGCCAGGGAGCCAACAGGCAGCACCAGCCCCGACCCCAAGCCTGACCCCGCTTATCCCCTCTGTTCATGATGCTGCTTTTGAGACACCGTGGGGAGGAGCTGATGGGGGCTGGGCACATGGGGCGGCCGTGGAGCCTTCTCCTGCCCGCCTTGACTTCTCCACCGTGGCGCCTGGCACACCTTGGGCCTTGCCATCCTGGCTTCAACGGGCGAGATGACACCCTGACTTCCTTCCTGCACCACGGCGCCTTTTTTGGGCCTGGGGTGGCTTACCATTGACTCACCAGAGTCCAGTGAGAGGTCCCGTCCTCCAGAATGTGCCCTCAGCAGAACTCATGCTCCCACATCCCATGTCCTCGAGGTCTAGGTGACCAGGATCATTTAACAGCCCAGGCAGTCTCCCACAGGCCTTCATCATGTGCTGGGCTCCTCTCCTGGAGATTTTGCACTTTCACGGGATTTAGTCCAGGGAGAAGTGGATGGGGGATTTCAGACTCTGCAGAAAAACAAGGAAGGAACAGATGTTGGCCCAGGGGTGTCCAGGGCCATCTCATACTCCTTTGTCTATACCCGAGAGACAGCCTTTCTGTTCAGGGGCTAGCTTGTTAAGACAGAGATGCTAGGTCAGGTGCACTTTGGGAGGTCAAGGAGGGAGGATTGCCTGAGTCCAAGAGTTCGAGACCAGCCTGGGCAATATAGCAAGACCTTGTCTCTACAAAAAATGCAAAAACTAGCAGAGTATGGTGGTATGTGCCTGTAGTCCCAGCTACTTGGGAGGCAGAGGTGGTAGGATCGCCTGACCCCAGGAGGTCGAGGCTGTAGTAAGCCATGATCGTGCCATAGCACTCCAGCCTGGGCAACAGAGTGAGACCCCGACTCAGGGCTTCATAGTATAGATGGAGAAACTGAGGCCCAGCAAGGTAGTCAACTCACACAGGAACATGTCTGGAGGACTGCTAAGCAGGGACTTCAGCCAGACCCAAGTCCTGAAAGCCTGCGTTGGTCACCATGAGATGTGATCACGGCACTTCTGCCTGCTGCCAGCTGCGTCTCAGCAATTATGCATCTCCTCTCATTTAATCCTCGCAGTGACTCTGGAGGGGATGCTCTGACATTAACCCCACTCTGCAGAGCATGCAGTTCAGGCAACACAGATGCCAAGGGGTCCAATGGAGCTCACACCCCCGACCTCCCCTCAGTCCCAAGTGGGGAGACCAAGGATTCCATCTGTCTCCCAGAGGCCCAAGTTCAGTGTCTCTTCCTGCCACCGGGTATCTTGTCTATCCTCAGACAAGACACATTCCCTCTGTGGACTTCCATCTCTTCTTCAGTGGAAATGAAAGAAGGAGCCCTCATTTGACTGCAAATGTCTGTGAGTCGGTTTTTTTCTTTTCCTTTTTGTTGAGTTAGGGTCTCATTCTGTCACCTTGGCTGACAGCCCACCACAACCCCCTGCCTCAACCTCCCTGGTAGCTGGGACTACAGGTGCGCACCACCGTGCCCAGCTAAGTTTTTAATTTTTTATAGAGACAAGATCTTGCTATGTTGCCCAGGCTGGTCTCAAACTCCTGCCTTGCCTCCCAAAAGTGCAGGGATAACAGGCATGAGCCACCATGCCCAGCCAAGGTCATGTCTTTTAATAAGTTCCCCTCCACTGTGACCCCTGGCTCTGGACCAGGCCTCGTGTTCCAACCCGTTTCTTCATCCACGGCACTCGTGCCGACATGGGGACTGGCAAACTCTCTATAAAAGGCCGGCTAGTGAATATGTTAGGACTGGGAGTCGTGTGGTCTCTGTCAAAAATATACAACTCGGGTCAGTTGTGGTGGCTTCTATAATGGCAGCACCCTGGGAGGTCAAGGTGGGAGGATTGTTTGAGCCCAGGAGGTCAAGGCTGCAGTGAGCTGTGGTCATGCCATGGCCCTCCAGCCTGGGCAACAGAGCGAGACACTGTCTCAAAAAAAAAGAAAAAGCAAGGAAGCAACTACGGACACAGATGAGTAAACAAGTGGGCGTGGCTGGATCCCAATAAAACTTTATTTATAACATCAGCCCTGGCGCAGTCTGCAGGCTGTAGGTGGCCACATCCTAGTCTAGCAGAAGCTGTCAATGTTTTTGCACAAGGAAGACAATTGTGGGTCGTGTCAGGCAGAAGCTGGTGGGGACGCAGATTTCAGTTGAGGGCAGGGGAGCTTTCCTGCGGCTCCTCTGTGGCTTCTGGTTGACTGAGACACTGGCCTCCTCCTCCAAGTGTCCCCTGTCTTGGCAAGGTTCACAGTATAGTGCAGAGCTGGAGTCTCGGGAACTTGGGTTCAGATCCAGACGCTGCCACTTTGAGCTGTGTCATCTGGGCCAAATTGCCTGCCTTCTCTGTGCCTCCTCTCCCTCAGCTGTAATGCAGGGCTGGCATCCCATGCCCTGGGCATGTTGCGAGGGTCGCACTTACAAGGGTGGGGCATTGTGGCACACGGGAGGTGCCCTGTGACTCTCAGCAGCCACGGATCTCTTCGCCAGTGTGTGAGTGTGCGTGCATCTGGGTGGCGAGGCTGACTAAGCCTCCCGCTCTGACTCTAGTGGGCGTCTCCCCAGCTCCACAGGCATCCGGGAAGCTGAGCGCTTCGGGACGCCCCCCGGACGGGCCTCCAGCGCCACCCGGGCGGGGAAGGAGGAGAGCGGAGGGCTCAAGTACAAGGCCGGCCGGGTGAGTGGCGCCTCGCATTCCCCGTGGGGCCCTTGCACCTGGGAATGGGCTCTGTCCTCTGGGCCGGTGGCCCTCTCCCAGCTGTGCTTTTGGGGCTCCTGCATTGGTTGGTGAGGGTGGGGTGCTGGGCGGGTCATGGGGCGTCCGAGAGAAATGCCCTGGTTGTTCCTTCAAGGGACTTGCACGATGCTTCTGGCATGATGACAGCGGCCCCACCAGGCTAAGAGTCGTGCACTAAGAGTCGTGCACTCGGCCGGGCTCGGTGGCTCAGCCTGTAATCCCAGCACTTTGGGAGGCCGAGGTGAGTGGACTGCCTGAGCCCATGGGTTCAAGACCCACCTGGGCAACTTGACGAGACCTCATCTCTACAATAAATAAAAAATCAGCCGGGCATGGTAGCGTGCTCCTGTAGTTCCAGCTACTTGGAAGGCTGAGGCGGAAGGATCGCCGGAGCCCAGCAGGTCAAGGCTGCGGTGGCCGGGAGCGGCCACTGCACTCCAGTCTGGGCGACAGAGTGAGACTCCAACTCAAAAAAAAAAAAAAGTCGTGCACTGGATCTCAAAGTTCTGGTCCACCTGCCTGTATCAGAATCACCCAGCGACGTTGCTTAGCGTGTAGCTTCTGGCCTGTAATCCCAGCACTTTGGGAGGCCGAGGTGAGTGGACTGCCTGAGCCCATGGGTTCAAGACCCACCTGGGCAACTTGACGAGACCTCATCTCTACAATAAATAAAAAATCAGCCGGGCATGGTAGCGTGCTCCTGTAGTTCCAGCTACTTGGAAGGCTGAGGCGGAAGGATCGCCGGAGCCCAGCAGGTCAAGGCTGCGGTGGCCGGGAGCGGCCACTGCACTCCAGTCTGGGCGACAGAGTGAGACTCCAACTCAAAAAAAAAAAAAAGTCGTGCACTGGATCTCAAAGTTCTGGTCCACCTGCCTGTATCAGAATCACCCAGCGACGTTGCTTAGCGTGTAGCTTCTGGCCTGTAATCCCAGCACTTTGGGAGGCCGAGGTGAGTGGACTGCCTGAGCCCATGGGTTCAAGACCCACCTGGGCAACTTGACGAGACCTCATCTCTACAATAAATAAAAAATCAGCCGGGCATGGTAGCGTGCTCCTGTAGTTCCAGCTACTTGGAAGGCTGAGGCGGAAGGATCGCCGGAGCCCAGCAGGTCAAGGCTGCGGTGGCCGGGAGCGGCCACTGCACTCCAGTCTGGGCGACAGAGTGAGACTCCAACTCAAAAAAAAAAAAAAGTCGTGCACTGGATCTCAAAGTTCTGGTCCACCTGCCTGTATCAGAATCACCCAGCGACGTTGCTTAGCGTGTAGCTTCTGGCCTGTAATCCCAGCACTTTGGGAGGCCGAGGTGAGTGGACTGCCTGAGCCCATGGGTTCAAGACCCACCTGGGCAACTTGACGAGACCTCATCTCTACAATAAATAAAAAATCAGCCGGGCATGGTAGCGTGCTCCTGTAGTTCCAGCTACTTGGAAGGCTGAGGCGGAAGGATCGCCGGAGCCCAGCAGGTCAAGGCTGCGGTGGCCGGGAGCGGCCACTGCACTCCAGTCTGGGCGACAGAGTGAGACTCCAACTCAAAAAAAAAAAAAAGTCGTGCACTGGATCTCAAAGTTCTGGTCCACCTGCCTGTATCAGAATCACCCAGCGACGTTGCTTAGCATGTAGCTTCTGGCCTATAATCCCAGCACTTTGGGAGGCCAAGGCAGGAAGATCACTTGAGACCAGGAGTTTGAGGCCAGCCTGGGCCAAGATATGAGACTCCATCGCTATAAAAAATAAAGATTAGCTGGGCATGGTGGCTGAAGCAGGAGGATTGCCTGAGTCCCAGAGGTTGAGGCTGCAGTGAGCCGGGTAAGCTGGGATCATGCCACTGCACTCCAGCCTGGGCGACACAGCAAGACCCTGCCTTTAAGAAAAATAAAAGTGTGGATCCTGGGACACCCCCCACCCCAGCCTTCCGAAGCAGGAGGTCCCTGGGGCGAAGTTCTGTAGGTGGCCGAGCTGCCCAAGGCTTAGTACCATCCCAAACTAGATCCACCGATGCAGATGCTAAACTCCAGCGACCTGACCAAAGCAGAATGAACCTCTGGTGACACCAACCAGATGTCTACAAACACGTGCCATTGTCTGAATGCCCAGATGCCAGTTGACACATATTCTTAAATGGAAACGCCTAGATGCATATGGTGGAACGGGGCAATCCCTAAACGCTTCCATGCAAGGATTGAATGATCCCGTTTATTCGTAAACACAAATAAACCGCCCTCCTCATCTTACAATGCAGTGTTCTAGAATATGCATTCTAATTGCAGGAGATGTCACCCCCAAAGGGGTGAAAAATTGTTCTTGGGGGGTGTGGCAAAAGCATCTTATTCTTTTTATGCAAAAGCACAGGTGTAGAAACACATGCATAAGCCGGGCATGGTGGCTCATGCCTATCATCCCAGTACTTTGGGAGGCAGAGGCGAGAGGATTGCCTGAGACCAGGGGTTTGAGACCAGCCTGGCCAACTTGGTGAGACCTCATCTCTACAATAAATAATAATAATTTTTTTTAAATAGCTGGGCTCGGTGGCTCAGCCTGTAATCCCACGCCTTTGGGAGGCTGAGGTGAGTGGATTGCCTGAGCCCGTGGGTTCGAGACCTGCCTGGGCAAC